GGGGATTGGGGAGGAGGGAGTAAATTCCTGCATTTGGTGGCGTTTTACTGTTTTGGAGCTAAATAATAATTTTCTACTTGAATAACCCTCAAGGACAGCTGGTTGTAGATGCATATTGCATTTGCTTTTCTGGAGGCACAGGATGCAACAGCTCTGTAAAATGTTTATCTAAGATATAACAGATACAACATGCTTGAGGACTTTAGGGAACTACAAAAGAGATTTAAGCCACACCCAAGGTCAATTTTGTTAAATTAAGTTTCAAATACTCAATGGCAGCTGAGATTCTTGCAAAAAACAAAAAATAAAAATAACAACTCATTAAAGTCATTTGAATAGCTCAAACTGACTGCAGTCACTCTGCAACAACCATTTCCCTTCCTAAATGCACAGAGAGAAAGGTGTTGCCTTCCTTTCACGTGCTGCTCCACACTTACCTGTATGGCTGTGGATTTGGCATACACAATTTCCTCATCAACCCCCACAGACACCACGATAGCGTCGACTTTGCCAAACTCATCTTCTCCCTTCTGCAAAACACAAACATACACACAGTTTGATGTCACGCATGAGATGATAAAGAGCATATAATGAGGTCCACAGTGAGGTGCTCCTACTCCATCTGGACTTGTTCTTTGGGGAAGTAGTGGCACAACCACACAACTCAAAGCTAATCCAGTTTATCATTCAGGGTATCCGGCGATATTATATTAAGTCCCATTAAAGGTGCTTTAGAGGCTTTAAATGGCAGTTACAATGCACATGAAACAGTTAAGCAGCCTGAAAGCGTGACATGGGGTCAAATATGAGCTGAAAAGTCAGCAACAAGAGCCAGCAGCTCTTAAAATGTACTTCAACCTATGAAAAGAGTGTACTTAAGATTAAAATAATTCACGCAGGAATCCTCAAACAAAGGTGAGAGCGGTAATAAAGAAAGCAGCTCTGGACGTCTTGCACATGTCACCAGGATGCTGGCGTTACTTTCATGCTAACTAGCCAGCTAATGTTAGCATGCAGCCAAGTGCGAAGTGGCAGTAAATGTAAACAAGTGGTGCAGTTAGCCACCTGTCAGGCACATCTATGTGCCTGACGACCGTCACAGCACGGCTTCATCTCAGTTTAAGTGTTAAATCAGAAGTGGCTGGTTTATTACACAGTTAGCCGCTCGGCTAATAAGTTAGCTTGGAGTAAAGTTAACATGCTAGCATGCTAGTTAGCGTGGTGAATGGGGCGATTTTGGTGCGCTAACTAGAGGCAACCAGCCTGCCAGTAGAGACAAGAACAAAACAAAATAAGGGTGGTGCAAAGGTTGGATTCGTGTGTGAAATAAAAAGGAATAAAAGAGCTCAGGTGGCGACCAGTGTTCGCCCTGGTATTGAGCGAGGGACACATCACCGCTCATCCTAACAACAGTGCGCTCGCTCGGGCAAGAAAAACGCGGCTAACTTGTCGCCAGCAGCTGCACTTTTCTCCACTAAAGCACACCGAGCGGACACACGCCTCACATAAACTCCCCCTTTACTATATTTTATTTATTTTACCTTCCAGTTGCTGTATAGTCTCTTGATCCGGCGGTAGTATGCGTCCTTATCCAGGTTTACCGCCATTGTGAGCGCTCCGTTTCAAACTCCAGCTCCCGGCTTCGCTTCGCAGCAGGCCGGATGAGGATGAGGATGATGAGCAGTGTCAACTAACAACAACGCACTTTCTTTCCACGCCTGCTGGGCTCCAAATACCACCACGAGATGCTGCTGCTTCCCTTATAATTATACAACAGCGGCCCTCTGAGCTGAGGAGACATGTAAAAACACAGCGCACGCTAACCTTACAGCCCGCTTTCACCTGCTTTAAAACTCGCAAAATTATTAAAATTGTATTTTTTCCCACCTCCTCCTCGACACACACGACCACGTACACACCAATCTGTTATAATTAAGTCCACAGCACCCCCTCCCCTCCCGTCTTTTTTTCCTCCCTCCCCCCTCTGGGACTTCACACATCAGATTTTATAAAACCGTAAAACATAACATAACGCTTCATTATATTTTCACACCAACCGAAACATAATAGAAAAAACAATCGCGTTATTTCACCTCGATTCAATTTTTACTTTCTTATTTTTTATTTATTTTATTTTATTTTAGTATTATTTTTTGTGGCGCATTTCACACATTATCTGCACAACAGCACCCCCTGTCTAGTGTTGACCACGCTGCATTGCCCGCCACCGCGGTTTTCCCGCCACCGTCATCAAACGACTCATTTGACGTAATTCTCGCGATACCAGCAGTGGTTACGTATGGCCCGTGATGCTCTCCCAGTTTAATTGTTTTTTTCTCTGCAGGGTGATGTTTCATATGACATTCTTTGTCGGGTTTTCACTGACTAAAATTAACGCAGATTTTTATTTAATTTATTAGTTTTATATGTTTGTGTGTTTGTGTGCATACATTAATCGTGGGCATGAATATCATGGTACTTTTGGGACATTTTATTATTCGGTAGAACTGTTCTTCTTCCAGGGTGGCATATTGTACAGCATGATTTAATTACCTTCAAAAGAAGAATTGGGTACACAAGTCTGAATTCATTTCGGGGGCTTCTGATTCATACAGCGTGAACAGTATTCATTCAGGCTCAAACGTACAAAAACACACAAATGTTTTAATAAGTGGAGCTGAATGTCTTAACGTACGGAGGTCTATAGCTTGTTTTTGTTGACTGAGTAGACCTGGTATTTCCGTTTTGCAGAATAAAGAATTAAAGACGTTAATGAATGTTAATCAACATGTTTTCCTAATAATAATTATTCATTAATAAACCTTATTTTTATTAATATAATAATATTTATAATAACGATAACAATTAT